CGGTAAAATTAATCTACACCTTTTCTGATATGAAAAATAGGAAATTCATGTTCACTAAGGCATAGTTATAGACTGTAACTCAACGCTTAATCTCTACTATAGCTAAATTAAACTTTCAATATTTATAAGGCATATAGTACTTAGAGAACAATTCAAGATCAGCCGATCAAAATTCAAAAGTCTACAAGAAGACCAAGTAAAAGTGTTTATTGACTTAATTATCAGGCCAAGAATGAATCTCATAATATTTATTAGGAATCCTTTGTGCAGGGGATTACGCATATATAATATGACGTTGACTTCAATCTGATCACAGTAGAATTGGGCAGATGTAGAATTGGTCAGTTCCTTCTCCACAACGATTAATCTAATCACGGGAGCATAATCCTGAGCTCTGTTAATCAAACATTTTCAATTATGGAATAACATCTGACGAATGAAATGCGACCTTTTAACACACGGTCGGGGATGAATGTCCATACGCAGATAGCTAAAGTATGAGTTTGTTATATCTCCAAAACCATTGGTGGATCCCTAGCTGCAAACATTAGAGTAATTGAATTTGACCTTAATTAGGTAGGAATCCCATGGGACTAGGAGTCATCAATTTTCTGAATTTTGGCAGCTAACTTTTATGTTGCACTGTATCCCACTTTTACAGATAGTTGGGATGCCCGTCTGGATTGTTATCGTTATTAAAGGGAGTTTTTTCTGTAGAAAAATGTACCGTAAAAATTTGATGCATATGAGATAAAAAATGATTTAAAAAAAAATAGCAATCCAAAGTAGGATAACCCTCTATCTTTGTCCTAACTGTCTTTTCCTAACTATCGTTACATCCCATGATCTTCTTCCTTTTTATTTTTTCTATTTTTTTTTTACAGGTTACAATCCATAATCTCTCCAAATCAGAAAAGAAAGAGAGCCAGAAAAAGATAAAGAAAAACAAAAAGAGACAGCAATTGTATTTCGTAGAAGTGAAGATATGTGGTAAGTATCCTTGTGTTATCATTATTATTATCATTTTGTTTTGGAAAACCAAATTTGACGCTGTCCCGGAACGATCTTGTGGAGGTCAATCAACACACACTAGAGTATTAATCAATGGCACTATCTACCTCAAATACATATTTAAAGCAGCACGCCAGTTGGAGTGACCGCTGTATTTTATCTAGTACTACTAAAGAATTGAAGAAGAAACGAGACCCTCTATTTCCTGGGCACATCAATTGGATGCGTTAATAGTACAGAGTATTAAATTCTCAGCAACTAATTGCCCCATAGTGAAACTTGAGGTCACAAGTTCGAGTCTCCGCGCTGCTGGATTCCTTCGCGCACTTAACGTGTTCGGGCCGAGTTGGGGCGCCGGGCCCGGGCTGCAGGGAATTAGTCGGGCCCCGTAAGGATTGACCCGGACACCCTGTGTCGAAAAAAAAAAAAAAAAAAAAAAAATTGCCCCCAACAATTCTCCTTTTTTTTTTTCATTTTTTGCCACCAAAGCAGAAAAATAAAAATAAAAAAATTGGTTCACCAGCTTTTATTTTATAGTAATTTTTACTATACCAATGGTGTATACTCTTGCAGCACTGAAAACATACTGTATTTGTAAAATTTAAAATTCAAATTCAAGTTTGCATAACTTATCATGCATGCAAACTTATTATTCGATTAGTGTATTATATATTGACTTGTTATCGAAAAGATTAATCTTTTCATTTTACACATTATACATAGTAAAGTTGTGTACATAGTACTACAGTTGGTGCTGTTTGCTGAACAACTGGGTGATGCTTCAGTTGCATCAACACGCAATATGTTAAAGGTCTCCAATGTTGTCAAATTCAGATCAGAGCGGGATCCACTTGAACACAACTTGAAGTCTAAACCCCAAAGTCAGCAAAGTTGTCAAAAATAAAAAAAAACCACGTCTTAGATTTTGTTTGTCTTTTGCTTTCATACTATAGATTAGCTTACTTTTTATTTATTTGGTCGGTTTCGAAGCTCATGCCTTGCAAAAGCCGACACAGTGTTAAACATGGTGTCTGCAACGAGGGTGCGAATTTCACCTGTAATAAAAATTTTTTTAAAAAAGTGTCAAAATAGTCTTTTGATTTGATCGAATTTGTGTATCTATTAATGTCTGATATCTTCTTTAATCTAGTTGGATCTATATACTTGCTAATCCCTAATATAATCTCTTTAATCTTCTCTTTCTGTAAAATATGATATATTAGCTTATAAAAATATTATTATTGCGGCAAAAAAATTCTTTTATTCAACTTAATAAAATTTAAGCTTGGCATCCTTTTCCCGTGCACGAGATTTTGCCCAAAAAAAAAAAAAAGGTGTCTGCAATGCAACCCTGAAGGTCAAGAATTATAGCAAGTGATGATTTGTTTAGTTAATGGGGAGTGATGATTTCTTGGTAATTTGATAGTACCTTAACGGTTTCAATTTGGACCAAAAATTTTCAACCTTTTCATACCGATGAATCTAACATGTCGGCAGCTTTCAGTTCACGATTTTCTCGTCCGAATTTTGTTCTTCTAGAAGGCGATTAATGAGAACCACCAGGTACTAAAGGGGAGACATTAATGTGTGTTTGAATTTGCTACCAATTCATAAAACAATTGGTAAAGGGGAGTAGTACCATTATGCATGTAATCTTGCTTTGCTTCTCCATAAACATATTCTAAAGTCTAATAATACGCAGAAAATGGCCTTCTTCAGAGATGTCCATTTTTACTGGATAGTAATTAAAGAAACGATAAAATTTTTCTACAATGACAAAATATACACATTATATTAATGTGAGTGATGCTTTAAGGAAAAGCTTGTGAGATTACTGTGCCACTAATCCCACTTTTGTTATAAGATGGATTATCCAAGCTACAAATGTAATTTCATTTTATCTGTTCTGCTGTAAAGTTAATGCAAAATACCGTCCTACCACATGAAATTTGTTTTTCCAGTAATTTTTTTTTTGGTCATTCATTCAAGAAATTCTTGTCATTTCAAGGTTGCAAGATTGTGTTAGAGCTTAATGTTCAATTACATAATTTAATGGTAGTGTAGGATCACTAGACACAAACAGTTTGAGGAGGTAAATAGTGTAAAATAATATAATTTGATGGGCTTAAAGTGCAATGCTGCAAGGTCGAATGAAAGACTAATTGGTTTTGACTTGTTACATGATCACTTGGTCTTGTCAAAACAAGAAAATAAAGACAATAAATTGCAACCTACTTGGTAAGAAAATTAAGACATTTTAATTGTAACTAATAGATTTGAATTATTAATGGGATAAGTGGAGAATCACCGTTAATCTTCTTTAAAAAAAAAGGTAAAAAGTTGGGGAGATTACATCTTAATTAGGGAAGAGCTTAATGAGCCTGATGATGCACTGGAAATTTTAAATTTAGGCATAGTAATATGTATGGATGTATGTATGTGTGCATGTGTAAGTACGTATCTATGAAAGCATGCATGCGTGTGCCCATATATTTTGATAAAGAGACAATTACATATTCACTCAAAACTGCTATATTAATGACAACAAGTATATCAAAGAATACAATAAATAGAAATAAATTTCTTCAAATTTGAAGGAATAATAAAAGATACTGATATAAAACTCTAAATTTTCTTACAAACAAATACTAACCATTACTGCTTTTCTAGTTGTTGGACAATTTGATTCGAATAATGTTTGAATGTATTCATTGATAAGTTGTACACTATGACAAATTAATGAGTTAAATACAGATTTAGTTTTGAAATGGTGTCAAATTAAAAATCTCAAATCAAACTAATGTAATGTGACAAAATCAATTGTCGTCCAAATTTAACTGACGCAGTAATAACTTTTATTTCATCTCTTTTTTTGTTTGAAAAAAAAAATTTAACTATACAAGGGAGAAAGAGGATATTCACGTTCAAAGAGCTAAAAAGTCAATTGTCATCCAAATTTCTATCCTATGTTTTTTTTAAAAAAAAAACCCTAGAATTCAAAATTAGGTAAAATTTGTCCATTAAATTTTTATGTACCATTAATGTTTGTGTGTACACATTAGCAAATGTAAATGTATACAACACATGCATAAAGTAAATTTTAAATTTGAAATTAGATTATGTAGCTTTTATACTTGCTAGTGTAATTTTAATTAATATTCCTATACGAGTAGTGCATTAAACATTAATTCAGAAATTATTCCCAAAAAATACAAAAGATTAAACCATTATTTGCAGATATTTTTCTCTTCTCTTGAAGATTAATTAGCTAACACAGACACACGCACAGAGAGGGAGAGAGAGAGCGAAAAGAGAGAGAATATTCACATTTAAAGACACTAAAGCAAATTATTGTCCAAACAATAATCCTAACAACAGAAGATCCCCATTAAGAATTAATACTCATAGCCATTATATTACCCTAGAAACAAAATTAAAAAAAAAATCCCGCAGGAATTTAACAATACAGAAACGGCCCACCTCGCACGCGCTTTCATGATATAAACAACTTAAAGCCGCAGAGAAGCTTCCCAAACTTGGTCAAAAGATTACAACAAAAAACCACTTTTGCCCAATTAAACAAATTTCTGCAATTATCAAGTCAAGAAACCTCACCCAAAATGTTCCCCTACTCCTCACCACAGTCCATTCCCCTACATCTCACATCATGACCGTTCATTCTCATCTGGCGGTCACTATGAATCCACACCACCAATTGCTGCCCTTTTTTGAAGTTTCAACGTTCCTTCATTTTCAACCGCGGGAACCTAACTGCTGGAACTGGATGTGCCCTCTATTTGACCAGGCCTTGAGTAATGAATACAGTACTCGAATTCAAACGCTTTGCGATTTCTTTCTTTCTTTTTTTTTTTTTTTTTTATAATTCGCCCAGAACAAAGAAGAGTTCTTGCTTTATTGCTTACCTTAACGGTTAGCACTTAGCACCCCACATTGACTATCTAAGTGTGTATATATATAGCTTTCTAAACGAACAGTCTGTTAAACACAACATCTCAGTTTCTCCTTTGGCCAAAAGGGCTGCTAGAGAAACTGACTGAACACGAAGAAGTTGGGAATCAAGATTCAATTCGTTCATTCTTTGTGCACTGTTGGTAGTCTTGTAGCGTGCAGTTTTCTGTCCCTGGAGTTTTATTTCTGACTTTTGTTGTATAGTTTGAGGTGAAGAAAAGAAAAGAATAGAAGGGGTCTCGGAAAGGAAGTGATCAGCGAGAGTTGGAAACAATGGCTGCTTTTGCAGGGGATGATTTGTCGAGGGCGACGAGTAGTAGGAGGAGTTGGGGGTCAGGGAGTGTGAGGGGGAGTGTGAGGGAGATTTGGCAAGGTCCACCTGATATTTTTGTTAGGAATAGTACTAGGAGAGAAATGGTGGATGATGAAGAGGAGCTCAAGTGGGCTGCTATTGAGAGGCTGCCTACTTATGATAGGATGAGAAAAGGGATGCTTAAGCAAGTGGTGAGTAATGGAAGAGTGATCTCAAATGAGGTTGATGTTACTAATCTTGGTGCTCAGGATAAGAAGCAGTTATTGGATAGTATTCTTAAAGTTGTTGAAGATGACAATGAGAGGTTCCTTACAAGACTCCGAGATCGAACTGACAGGTGAATGTTCTCTCAGCTATCTTGCTATTGTCATCTCTTTGATTACTGTAAAAAAAATGATGTTAAAAGTAGCTTTGGGCTTCACAATTTTGGAACTTAATAGGTTTCCTGTTTTGATGCTTTTATATGATGATCAGAACAATCTTGTGAAGGTTTTTGACAGCTTTTGTTGGGATTTGGAGATAACTAATGTTTTGACTTGTTTGGTCGAGTGCAGGGTGGGTATTGAGATTCCAAAGATTGAAGTGAGATTCCAGAATTTATCTATAGAGGGAGATGCATATGTTGGCACCAGAGCACTTCCAACTCTGTGGAACTCCACCCTCAACACGCTTGAGGTGATTAGCTGTTCTGTTCCTCCCCTGCGTCTTGACACAGTTCATGGAACTAATATTTAGTTGAATGGGATTTCCCACAACTTAAGTTTCTTAATTCTCCGGTGTTAGTTTTATTGGTAAATAACGGTGAATGCTTAATTAGATGCACTACGTCGAAGAACTGCAATTTTCGTTAATAATCTTATCAAGGGGAACATAGGAAAATGGTTGAAATAGGGAAGATAGAGCTTTTTATACAGTTTCTGAAGTAGAAAGATTGAGGGGTTTTACATTTAAGCGTCCTGTTATGGTTCTTTTCCAGAATTTATTTTTTTGTCCGATAATTGCTGTATCCTAGTTCTGAAGTATTATTCCATTCATTTTTATGTTTGATTAGGCTGCTATTGGATTGATTGGACTTGCTCAATCAAAGAAAAGAGTTGTTAGAATTCTTGAAGGTGTGAGTGGAATTGTTAGACCAACAAGGTATGCTTCTCAGAATTTCTAATTAGAACTCTTTTTTTTTTTTTTTTAAATTAGTTTATCTAACTCTTGGATATTGTCTTTTAATCTAAATTTTAAGATTAGCTCTTCCATCATGTTCTTACACTTCTGCTTGAAATTTACTGCTTTTTCAGGATGACACTACTGCTTGGGCCTCCCGGTTCAGGAAAAACTACCTTACTGAAAGCTTTGGCAGGCAAAGCTGATGATGATCTGAGAGTATGTCCCCTCCCCCCACCCCTTTCCTTTTAGACGTTTTCGTTATTTGTCATTCTTGATGAGTTGCTGATTGTAAGTGAATGAACAGGTCACTGGAAAAATCACCTACTGTGGTCATGAATTCCATGAATTTGTTCCTCAGAGAACAAGTGCTTATATCAGCCAGCATGATCTTCATTATGGTGAAATGACAGTACGTGAGACAATGGATTTTGCTGGTAGATGCTTGGGAGTAGGAACCAGATATGATATGCTGGTGGAGTTGTCAAGAAGGGAGAGAGAAGCAGGTATTAAACCAGATCCTGAGATTGATGCGTTCATGAAAGCCACAGCCATGGCGGGACAGGAAACCAGCTTGATTACTGATTATGTGCTGAAGGTCCGTTCCTCAGAACCCTTTTTTTCTTTGGGGATTATGATGTCATTCAGACAAGACTAATGTGCTCATAATGTTCCAACAGATTCTTGGATTGGACATTTGTGCTGATATTATGGTGGGAGATGACATGAGAAGAGGCATTTCTGGTGGTCAGAAGAAGCGTGTTACCACTGGTATGCACGCATCGATTACCGAAAGCTCTAGGCAGTATAAAACGATTCAAGTATCACATATTTGAATAAAATTCTAATGTGCAGCTCCCGATTCATTATGCTTTTCAACTAGAAGAAAGATACACTACTATGTTTTGAATTGACATTTTGCAGCGTAAACAGGCTTTATCATCTTTTGAGTTTTAAGTGATCTTTCTTCACGCATCAAATCGTCTGGACTAACGTTGTGATTGTGTCAAATGCAGCTGAAATGTTGGTAGGACCAGCAAAAGCATTTTTCATGGATGAAATATCAACAGGACTGGACAGTTCCACCACTTTTCAAATAGTGAAGTTCATGAGACAGATGGTTCATATTAATGATATAACCATGGTCATCTCTCTCTTACAGCCAGCGCCCGAGACATTCAATCTTTTTGATGATGTCATCCTACTTTCTGATGGGCGGATTGTCTATCAGGGTCCACGTGATAATATTCTTGAGTTCTTCGAGTACATGGGATTTAAATGTCCTGAAAGGAAAGGAATTGCAGACTTTCTGCAGGAGGTTACCTCAAAGAAGGACCAACAGCAGTATTGGTACAGAAAAAACCAGCCTTTTAGATATGTCTCTTCAGAGGATTTCGCAAATGCGTTCAATTCCTTCCATGTAGGACAACGACTTACAGCAGACCTTAGAGTTCCTTATGATAAGGCCAGAACCCACCCTGCAGCATTGGTTAAAGAGAAGTATGGAATTTCGAATTGGGATCTCTTCAAGGCATGCTTTGATCGTGAATGGCTGCTCATGAAGCGGAGTGCTTTTGTTTTCATATTTAAAACAACACAAATCACTATCATGGCCTTAATTGCCCTGACGGTGTTTTTAAGAACAGAAATGAAAACTGGTCACGTGAATGATGCTGCTAAGTTTTGGGGAGCATTGTTTTTCAGTCTTATCAATGTGATGTTCAATGGAATGGCTGAGCTGGCCATGACAGTTTTCAGGCTTCCTGTTTTTTTCAAGCAGAGGGACTGTTTGTTCTACCCAGCTTGGGCATTTGCTCTGCCAATTTGGGTCCTCCGTATTCCCATTTCAGTCATGGAGTCCGTAATATGGATCATTTTCACGTATTACACCATTGGTTTTGCGCCTTCTGCAGCCAGGTAAGTTCAAGTTCATGCAATTTCGTTGAAGCTTTTAGTCAATTCTTGGCAGGCATCTAATAATGCTTTTCTTTATTTTTATCTTCAATGTATCAGGTTCTTCAAACAGCTCTTGGCATTCATTGGCATCCATCAGATGGCTCTCTCTTTGTTTCGTTTCATTGCTGCAGCTGGAAGAGCACAAGTTGTAGCAAACACGCTTGGAACCTTCACCTTGTTGTTGGTCTTTATTCTAGGAGGCTTCATTGTTGCAAAAGGTGAAAGCATGATTTATATATACCACAATTTCTCGCAATGACATTTTGTAGTCTAGATATACTTATTGTCGGTTGCGGAAAATCAGTTGCTCCATGCTTGGATCTGTCTTGGCTGCTTTATTTGTAGCAATATAATTGAATTGCTAACCAATTTTATGGAAATGTAATTCATAGATGACATCAAGAATTGGATGATATGGGGTTACTATGTTTCTCCTATGATGTATGGACAAAATGCCATTGCCATCAACGAGTTTCTTTCTGAAAGATGGAGCAACGTAAGACCTCCTGATAATTGCCTCTAAATGTGTACATTCTTTCCAAGATCTGTAAAGCTAGAGGATACTCTATATTGATTTTGATCGTGGTTCTTAATTTTCATTCTACAGCCCTCCAATGGCTCTGAACCTACAGTTGGAAAGACACTTCTAAAGGACAGAGGTCTATTTACCACTGAAACTTGGTACTGGATTGGTGTAGGAGCTCTTTTCGCTTTCTCCTTGTTGTTCAATGTTCTTTTTATTGGAGCATTGACATTTTTAAATCGTGAGTACAATAGTCCACCTTGTTATCTTACATTTGTCATCTATCATTCTATACTATATGATACAAGAAGTTCATGTTTTAATACGTGATACGACTTAATTATCAGCAATTGGAGATACTAAAGCTGTTCTTGTTGAGGACGATGATGAGAAAAAGACTAGAAATGAAGCATCCAATTCTGCAGGTTTGTGGTCTATTAAACTGCTCCTTTTTGTATATGTAAGTAAATTTTGTAAAAATCATTGGATTAGCTTGTCTCCCTCTTTAAAATAAGCTTGAACAACTGTAAAACATCAAATGTTAAAAGTTCTCCAATTCAATACTCATTTCCACAGAACTTAATCGGAGGATTTGGCACCAAAATGTATGGAAAAAAGGTGTTCACATCAGTTACCATATTTTACAGTTTAAGAAGCAAAAGAATTTTTGATACTTTCTTTCGTTCGTAGCATTGTCATGGATGTTAGTAAAGGGAATAGGCTAAGAATTTAACACTCCAAGCTTAAAGCACCACTGAATAAATTCCTCTTTTCAAGGCTTTCAGTTATTAAAAATAATTCAGGGCCAAATAAATGTGTTTCTCATACGCTGTCATTGCTACAGGAATTCAAATGGGTGTAAGAAATTCTCAGGCAAATGGCAACTCAATGGTTAGTGCAACAAACAATCAAGCAACTAGAGGAATGGTTTTGCCCTTCCAACCGCTCTCACTTGCATTCAATCATGTGAAGTACTACGTGGACATGCCTGCAGTAAGTCTCGTCCATCCCTGTCCTTAATTTTGTGAAATTGCCCACATCTCATTTCTGTGGTCAGACTCTCTGAAATTTTGCATAGGAAACAAACATAATATTGTTACTATTTTTCTAACTTGGAAATTTGATTCATATCAGGAAATGAAGTCACAAGGGATTGAAGAAGATAGATTGCAACTTCTGAGAGATGTTAGTGGTGCTTTCAGGCCTGGCGTTTTAACAGCACTGGTGGGTGTCAGTGGTGCTGGAAAGACCACATTGATGGATGTCTTAGCAGGTAGAAAGACAGGTGGCTACATTGAAGGAAGCATAAGCATTTCAGGCTACCCAAAGAACCAAGAAACTTTTGCCCGAGTTAGTGGTTACTGTGAGCAGAATGATATACACTCTCCTTATGTAACTGTTTATGAATCGCTCCTCTATTCTGCCTGGCTGCGGCTTGCTTCTGATGTAAAGACAGAAACTCGAAAGGTAAGCATAGTAATTACTAGAATTATTACCTTTGACTCATTGATACACTGGTGCATTAATGTGCATGCCTTTAAATCAACAACGCTTTCTATGTAACTTGCTGAAGTTTCATTTTCTTTCTTACTACAGATGTTTGTTCAAGAAGTCATGGACTTGGTTGAGCTCAATGCTCTGAGGGACGCTCTTGTTGGACTTCCAGGAGTGGACGGCCTTTCAACCGAGCAGAGAAAGAGACTTACAATTGCTGTTGAATTAGTTGCTAATCCTTCCATCATCTTTATGGATGAGCCCACTTCAGGACTTGATGCTAGAGCTGCTGCAATTGTCATGCGTACTGTCAGAAATACAGTGGATACTGGTAGAACTGTGGTCTGCACAATTCACCAACCAAGCATTGATATATTTGAAGCTTTTGACGAGGTACACTTAATTGTCATTTTTCTTACACTAGATATTTTTGGGCACTCAGCATTCTTTAACACCATTCTTATACCTGCAGCTGCTCTTGATGAAGAGAGGAGGACAAGTGATATATGCTGGACCTCTTGGTCGCCATTCTCACAAACTCGTTGAATATTTTGAGGTGAGGTTCTGCTCCTATTGCATTATTGCTTGGTTGCAAACACACTGTCTGTGCACTAGAATTGAAATCCTACCCAACTTGCAGGCTGTACCTGGTGTTCCCAAGATAAAAGAGGGTCACAATCCAGCTACCTGGATGTTGGATGTCAGCACCTCAGCAATGGAGGCTCAACTTGGAGTCGATTTTGCAGAAATATATGCCAACTCTGATCTCTACAGGTTAAAGAAGGGTTAACTTATACAGCGTAGAAAGTTTTCAAGAATCAAATGTCTCTATATGTGCTGCAAGATCATTGACCTGTTACTTCGTTTACGTTTCCAGGAGGAATCAGGAGCTAATAAAGGAACTGAGCGCTCCTGAACCGGGTTCCAGGGATCTATACTTCCCCACCCAATACTCTCAGTCCTTTTTAGTTCAGTGCAAGGCTTGTTTTTGGAAACAACACTGGTCATATTGGAGGAACTCACAATATAATGCAATTAGATTCTTCATGACTGTTGTCATTGGAATTATGTTTGGCGTTATCTTTTGGGACAAAGGAACTAAAATGTAAGTCCAAATTTTCCTTATCTCGCAACCTTGAATGATAAAAGAGCCTACTCAATTCAGTTACATAATGCTAACATTAGCTTCAATACTGTGCATCTGTTAACAGATTTAGACAACAAGACTTGCTTAACTTACTCGGAGCTACTTATGCTGCTGTTCTTTTCCTTGGAGCAACCAATGCTTCTGCCGTGCAGTCTGTTGTGGCGATTGAGAGAACAGTTTTTTACCGTGAAAGAGCAGCAGGAATGTACTCTGAGTTGCCTTACGCATTTGCTCAGGTAAAGCATTCAGATCCCTTTTTGCCTGTCTACTTGTCACATTATCATTTTCTACTCGCAAATCAAATAAAACCTTCCAGTTCTAACATCCCTTGTGTATCTTACAATTGCAGGTTGCAATTGAAACTATTTATGTTGCAATTCAAACTCTGGTTTATACACTTCTTTTGTACTCGATGATTGGATTCGACTGGACTGCCGAGAAGTTCTTGTATTTCTACTACTTCATCTTCATGTGCTATGCCTACTTCTCAATGTACGGGATGATGGTTGTTGCATTGACTCCTGGCCATCAAATTGCTGCTATTGTCATGTCCTTCTTCTTGAGTTTCTGGAATCTGTTTTCTGGTTTTCTCATCCCGCGTCCGGTGCGTGAAATGCTAAGCTATATTTACCTTCCACTCCACACATGAAGCTCCAAATTGTACTGTACTGTTCCATTGAATTCTTGACTGACCATACCACCATTTTGTGTTAAAACAATTTGCAGCTTATTCCAGTATGGTGGAGGTGGTACTACTGGTGCTCTCCTGTTGCATGGTCAATTTATGGCATTTTTGCATCTCAAATTGCTGACAGAACAACTGGTATTGAAGTCCCTGGTAGTGACACAAAAGTTCCAATCAACCAATTCCTTAAAGAATACTTGGGCTATGACCATGACTTCCTCATTCCAGTGGTCTTTGCCCACGTCGGTTGGGTCCTCCTCTTCTTCTTCGTCTTCGCTTATGGCATCAAGTTCCTGAACTTCCAAAGAAGATGATCACTTCTCAGTTCACATGCGGAGTATTTCTTTAGGTTTATAGACCAATTGTATATCTTTGTAGCTAAGCATATAGGACCAGCGATCTTTCTCTCTTTGTTTATAGGTGTCTTTAGAAAACTCCGACCAATAGTCCAATATTCCCATTTGAGCGCAATATAGCTGCAAGAACGGCTCATATGATACGAGTCCTTAAAGGTACAAGTATAATACGAGACGGGTATAGTATGTGACATAATATGTATGTATTGTATGATTTTTTTCAAGAGTATAATTAAAAGTTTAGCGTAAAAATATTGGCAAAATTATGTATTATATACACGCATGTGTATGTGAATTCATACGTAAATAATATGAATATAATTGAAAGTTACGCAAGTCAAAGAATAGATAAAATTACTGTGATTTTCAAATATTTTACGATTACATTGATACTAATTTTAACTCTTATAGATTTTACTACATTAGTACTAATTTTAACTCTTATCCTCGTGTATAAAACGTAAATTTATTAAAATGTTATCATTTTAGTTCTTCTAATGTGTAAATTTGCATCATATACAATACATGTCATTATTACTTTGTATAAAATTCGGAATTTATATATCATTAGTTTTACCTAAATTTGAAAATTTTTCCAAAAAAAATTGAAGTATAATACGTTAAAAATTTATTATGTGCTTCATACAATTAGTTAAACAAATGTAAATATTTTTTAGAGTATTTTTGAAATACACAAAATATACATATTGTTTTTAAAACAAATTATACGTACAATCGGATATTATACTCGTATGTAATAAAGAGGATTCACTAATTATGATCCCCAAAACGCAACCCGCCGGTTTTATAGTAAATTCGTCCATCCCACAAACTTGTCAAGTAAGAAAGATAAAAGTAAAACTAAGCGAAATAGCAAATGCAAAGAGTTAAATGCTGGCCTTGTTTGGATTGTCGGTTTCCGTCGAAAAATTACGTCGTTTTTCGTGATCACATTTCCCTATTACCTTTTTCCCTCACATACATCAAATCGCTACAGTAATTTTTCCATGAAAAATCACCAAAAATGCAATCCAAACACAACCTAAATCGAAAGCATCTGAGTACTAAAAGTTAATGAACCAGAAAGTTTGCAGTAAAGACGGTCCATTCAACTGAAAACACAATCTATTTCGTCTTCATAGACCTTTCCTCCACGGTTAAACCTAATATAGTAACTAGAGTATCCAAAAGTTCCATCCAATTTGAGGTGATGTTCTAAAATGCCAAGTCAAAAGATCCATCAACTTTAATCCTCATCATCATCCCAAAAAGAGTGACTACATATAAGAAAGCAGCACTGGCGACAAGCAACAAAACGAATGAAAACGAGTTGAACTACACGTTCACACAGCCTAAAACATCCCTGCAATTGATTGTTTCGTCATTGTGTCTTCATGGAAGCCTCTGCAATATCCTTAATTGCTTTCCTGCTCTTCACAACGCGACGTCTTTTGGCATCAAAATCCAGCTTATCCAGATCTTCTGCAATCCCCAGGTAACCATACAGAATATTTTCCATATTGTTCACTGGAGCAGATATTGTTTCCCCAATCTGGTTGATCCGTAAGAACTCGGCCCTCCCATGATCGTTTCCAGCATAAACCTTGTGAAGCCTCTCAGCCTCTTGCAACCCCGACAGCCGACCAGTAAACTCGACCACCAAAACACTTTGATTTGCAGGTTTTCCACGGTACACCTTAGTCTTGTCTCCAAAGCCCATTTCTGGGGAAAAAAATTACAGGAGAATAAAAAAAAATGAAATAAGACAAATGAAGACAACAGACCAATGAATCTCACTGTACAACGTGAGAAAGTCTCAAGAGTATGCAAGACTCCATCCTTGTTAAGGCTGCAAAATGGAGATGAGCATTTTGAAGATAGACACACAAACAGAGAGGCATACAGCAATACAAACCAAAACCAATTCTGACATGACATCCAAAAAAACTTGTGCAGTTCTGCACTTCAAATGGTCTGTGGAATTGACAATTGTTCGGACAATTTGCAATCCCAGGGCCAAAAGGACATACCTTCATTGAACACTTAGGATTTATCCAGGTACAGACTCATCCACAAAATGTACACTCACATTTGACGGAATAACTATACAATCTGTGTGGTTGAAACACTAAATCCTCGTACGTAATGGAAACTTACTTGCCAAGTGTCCAATTATTCAAGACAATTGTCAAACAGAGACTTTCAATTGACATACTTTTTGAAAATAATATAAAGATGACAAGCCGAAGTTAAAAGATAATAGTAACTTCGTCAATCAACTCAAGCTACGAAATTCTGCGTCCTGCGACAGTTATATCCAGTGCCACCATATACCAGAATATTGCTCACAATGGCATTTTGAAGCATATCATGAGCGCCAATACGAACTTAAAGTAGACAAATTTAAAGTCTAAAAGCAAGGAAAACCAGAGCTTATAACAGAATACCTACAAAAGTAATAAAGTCATGACTGATTATGATGGTGTTTCATGTTCAGAGAAGGAAACGTACCTCTTAGTTTAGTTTCAAGTTCTTCAATAGATACAATAACCTGCTGATCAGGGCTCTTATTTCCAATGGTACCGTTGTGGATAATCACCACTGGAGGCCACAAAATGAGGTCTTCCTTTAGTGTTAAATTTTCCGCATCAGACAACATTTCAGGTGACCATGTAACATTTGGCTTCTCTGCACTCTTCCATCCCATAAGTGCACAAAGTGCTTTATGAAAACCCAAGTGACGCGATCTTAAGCCAATTTCTTGAGATGTGAATGCATGTGTTGCCAAACCCTCTGTGCCAACAAACTCTTCCTGGCTGCAAGCAAGCAAATCTCAAGTAGTGAAAATCATGCAATTCATCAGCAGACCAACTTAAGAAAACATCAAATCTACAATACATAAAAGACCAACTCAATTGCTATGAGTTATTTAGAGATGAAGAACGTCCCGTCCTTGATAGCAGATGCTAATGATGATTCTCATTTCCAAAGTACATCCTTTTCCTAAAGCTTATGCTCATACTCTGCTAGTAAAATTGTTTAGATTCTTTGTTGGGGTAATGGCAGACACGAGAGATCAATGTCACTATCTAAACATTTCTCATGCCAGTTTTCTTCTCTGTTCCTTTATTATCTTTCTTTTGGTACCACAACAGACACATCCATAATCAAACAACAAGAAACCATCACAAGAGATCAATGTGACTAAACAATTTTCACACAAGTCTCTTCTCAGTTCCTTTGTTGTTCAGGTTCTTTTCTTTCTTTTGTACTGTAACAGACAATAACAATCGAACAACAAGAAACCATTGCACCATGCCTATATTTTACAGAGTCACATACTCCTCCGCAGGTGTAATTATTAGTCTCTTGGCAGCATTACACAAGGATCTTTCTCAGTGAACATTAACAGCACTAATCATCAAACTCACAAGCTAGAGGACTCGGTGGAAAATGACATTCAAAAAATAACAGTGTCTGTTTCATGTTCAAAAGAAATTGAAATTAGCAAGTCAACATCACTGTATGGCTACTTTAAGTTATAAGACTACTAATTCTTATTGGAGTGTTCAACTGTATATCAATGAGTTTATGTTTCTCTCAGCCTAGGGAAAGCAACATGTTTCAGCCTAAGGAAAGAAACATGTTTCCATGAGGCAATCCAGCCAAAGCATATTGGAAGCATAAAAACTTCAAGCAAAATTTTCAACAGCACAGGTTTCTATTATTAAGTATGGAGAGAGAGAGAAAGCAAAAAGGACATACACAACTAACTATTTGCATAAAAGAATATTCAGGAAAAGGTCTTCCATGTAAAGTGCGTATTCAATGTTTAATTACATCGCTTGGAAATGTGGTGAGACTAAAAATGGGCCCCAACAGTACCTACAGACTGATATTTGCCTTCAAAACACAATCATTATTGTAAATAGCCTAATGTGTGTAAAGTCCAACTACCAAACCAAAAACTTCATGAGAACTGATTCTAATCCTCATCAACCTAAACTTTCATACAAGAAATTCTTCTACTCTTCATTGCAAAAGAAACTTCTCTCAGGGCAAAAACTAATAAAGCTAGACTAGGCACCTAGATAGCTGATTTCTTCTCCTATAACTTGAAAAACATTTTTGAAATTAATTCTACACACCGACAATTACTTCAAGTAACTATGGAAAGAACTGTAACTTCCTTTTCAGCAATACTCTTATATCAGAAAACCAAGACCATCAGACCAAAACCACATCTGAGGATTTAACTAATGCTCCAATAGCACAACCAACACATTTAAAAGATTTATCTTCTTCATTCTTCTGTCCCAAGCCACTCAAAATAGTGACAATGAATTTTTATCTTTGTCCTTATTCTGTTCCTTTCTCATGATTCTTTTCGTGAGAATTGTTCACCTGATGTAACTCATATGTCAAAAATCACAATCTGCGGAAAAATATAAGAATATCATGACAAGCCCTCCATTTGAGCAGCAATATCATAAAGTTTAAACTCTTCCAAACCATCTCCAAGGGGACTATCATAATATTGAACAGAAGTCTACATATCACACTCTCTTTGAAGTCATGGAAGCATGAGACCAGTAAAGGACAGCAAAATCCAGGAGCTAGCAACATATTCTGGTAAACATTTGCTTGTCACTTCCTCATGAGCTGATGATTGAAATCAGTAGCAGGATACTTCATTGTAGCATAAGAGCAAGAAAAAGTTCAATGAAAGACAGGAAAGAGTTTCTCCATCTGTAATAACATTTCATGATGTAAAACACAGACCTGCGGCACACGATGCACTTCAAACTACCAGAAATTGCCCGCTCCTTGTATTTTCTTCTTTTAGCCGGAGTATCATTCAATTGTTTGACAAACTTGAAGAATGCAATATTCACCAGCTGTTTAAAATCCTCGGACTTTTCAGGAGGTTCGGGCTTTGCAAGAGTAACATTTTCTGCCTGGGGATCTTCCCCTTGATCATGATCGCTTCCACCTGAACCATCTTGAATTCTTGGCAGATTGGCAGCATTCAGATTCTTCAGCCATGGGAGAGTAACACGATTCTTTTGAGGACCAGGTCCTAACCGTTTTCTTAGTGAAGGCTTGTACTTCTTTGCTAGACGTTGGGAAACATGAACTTTCTCAGCAACTGGCCCAAGCCGTTTCTTTATATCTCTAGGGCCAGAAATCTGGGTTTTTCTTGTATGAACGGATGAAGAGAATGTATTTGTGCCAGAGGGTGATTGATGGTGGGCTGCCATATTTA